GGGTAACAAGAAGTGACTGAGGACTGTTAAAATACAGCTGCAAACAAAGAGAAACTACACTGTATCTCCATTCCTTCATCTAATGGTCATAATATTAACCTCCACACATCCTACCTCAATACTATATGAAAGAAATCTTGAGAATCTGCTCATAGTGATGACGGATTTAAAAAAAACATGAACAAGATAAACAAGATCAACTGTTTTGGCTCTCTCCAGAAGGCAAGTAAACTCCTCTTCACACCCACTGCGGTTTGTTTATTGTCTTGGAGCTGGTATTGTGGATGCCATCGTCCATCTGATTTAGCAAGCCCATTCCCATCTGCATAAAGCAGACAGCCCAGTGAGGGTCACGCCTGTCAATATCTCCTTTGCTTTTAATGTGATTCGTTTCACATTGTTGCATTGGGAGCAGCAGAAGAAGCAGATGGATCTCCCCACAACCCACTGATTTACTGACAAACAAACCACAATTTGTGGCATGATGTCATACTTAAAACAAAGAAAAAGGAGACGATAGCAGAAGGCCAAACATCGCCCCCATCCTCAGAAAAGGTGGATGAGACTGAAAACAGATATCTAAAATTTTATTTAGACACTGTGGTGGACTTGAAACGTAATGCTGCATATGGGGTCTGAATAGATTGTTTTTCTCCTAGAAACTTCGCTCCCTCGTAGTTGGAAACCAAAATATTGTACATCATCTTTGTGTCTGTCGTTGAGATTGCAATTAGCTTTGTTGGGGAGCAAAAGTAAAACCATTGACTTGAAAAAATCAATAAACAGATAATAAATGCTTGCAATGTTCCATGGATACCTCTGGAACCCCAAGAGTTTATTGTGCAAAAAAGAATGCAAAATAAGTAATGAACACAATGGAAAATGCAGCTTCTACATAGCGTATTGTTGAAATAATAGTGATCCTTAAAGATTGCTCAGCCAAGCAGAAACCCTCATTAATTCATATTAACAGAAAAAAAATACAATGAATGATGGTTTATAAAAAACATTATATATGTTTGATTGATAAAGTATGTTTAACTTAACTGATGCTTTTTTCAATTTCAGTAGGTGGTAGATTCAAATCTTTCATCTCATGTCTCTTCATTGTCCTTCAGCTCCCCACAGAATCCACCTTGTTCTAAAAATATGGATTGTTTGGATTCATTGGAGCATATGAGGGGTCCTTTGGCCTCCAAACATCAATTCTTAAATAGATACTGATACCACAGATTCAGGTTCAGGTTTCACAAGATTTAATAACTAACAGAGGTCATATATTAGGACGCAAGGTTTAGTTTATAAAACGGGAAATATAGAATTTACCAAACAGTTCTAGCTTTAGCCATTTTTTTTTCTTCACTTTGTCTCTAAGTGTGCCAGAGTTGTATTCATCACCACAGAACAGCTCTGATCAGGCTCTGAATCTGTCTGCCCTTAAAAATCTTGCTGACTCATACAGTGCTGTAACGCTCAGCCTTTATTTGTCTGCAGAAATAATAGATGGCATTTTCTGTGGAATGCTCATTGAAACACACAAATGCGGTATTACGCCTAAAATATCAAACACAGCCTTTTTATCAGGTTTTGCTTGGTCGACTCCACTTTGACGCTCTGATTTCCAAAAATAAGCTTGGAGGCTGTGAAAAATGTAAAAAAGAACACTGCAATGATTTTCAAACATCATAAATGATTACTTTATTGACAATACAGTTTTATGACGTATATTTTCTGTAAGTAAGAACAGCTCAACTTTAAGCAGACCAGCTAAGTGACTGATTTCACTTGATTTCATAATTATACTTTATTTAGTCTTGAAGGTAAAGAAATTCTCTGCAGCATAAACTGTTGTTAAAGATAAATATGTCATTGTTATCTATACAAAAATAAACTACTTTACAGCCGATGTTCAACAAAGGCAGCGAGATGGCCACAAATGGATTAGGAAGGGATATTGTATGTTTTCTAAAAAATTATATTAACACTATTTGCTTGTGAGTTGTCCTGGATTATGCCATTTGCTGTTAAAAAGCACTGTAATTTTTCAACCTTTATTTCCACTTTTTTGTCTGCACGTATAGTCTGAAATCTGTTTAAAGAAGTGTTCCTGCAGCCATGTATCTGTGAAACAAAAAATCTTGGCAGCTGGATATATGTGTTGCATCTTTTTCAAAACTAAAATCTTAGTTTTTCCTCTTTTCAGTTCGATTAAATTCCATTACTTTTATTCTTATAACGCCACATCAAAGCACTTCATCTTTTTCCTATCATGTGTCGTATACAAGTCATATTCAACTTATCTGGATTTATGGTCTAATTCCAGGCATTATTGGACTTTAGAAACCTCACACGTGGAATCACCTTCTTGTTGACATTTTGATGTATCACAACCGATTTGAAATGATGCCACAATAGCCAACATAAATCATTCTAGCATCACAGTATCCAAGAAAATAGTGAAAGACATTGCATCAAGAACTATTGCTGTTTTTCTTTTCAACATAGCTACACAGTTTTAGCTGCAGTATGCAGTTTAGCATGATGTGTTGGTTTAGAACCTCAATAGTTTTTTAAACATTGATTATGCTTTTAAAAAATCAAATTTCCATGGACACTCACTACATTTTATTTAAGAAGCAGAATTTTGCCAAGAGCTAAGAGGTGATAACAAGCAGGATGATCCCTCCTGGTCTACAGAAAATGGAAGCACTTCTGGTCATGTTCCTATTTGGTTCTTCTTTGCATGCTATAGCTTTAACCTCCATTTACGAATTGATTAACATGTTCTTGCTTCTTTCTCTTTTCTGTTATCACTGACTTTTTCAGCCTTTTGTTGCACTTTTTGACACGTGTTTTCATAAAATAGTAAAATTCCTCCTTACAATATACCCAATTTTGAATTAAATGTGGCGTTATGAGACCGGAAAATAATTACATTCTATTTTCATTGACATTTAGGTGTTTTAACTGTTTTGTAAATGGGATTTTTCTTCATTCCTGTGTTAACCTTAGACAAAATGAACTAATTTTTAAATATTTAGATAAAGTATTCCGTTTAGGCTATGCATGCTGAACCATGTGAGGATACAGAAGCAGATATAGTTCCATGTAATGTAGAGAAAAAGCTTACAGGAAATTAGAGCAATTAGCTTTTCCACCAGTTCAAACCACCAACGGTTCAGTCTTACCATTGGTGGTTACTTAGCTGAAAATGGACTGTTGGGAGGCTGGGGAGCAAATGGTCTTTATTTTCAGCGTGGAATGTGCCTTTTTCAACTGTTTCAACATTTTTGGGTTGTAATGGTCAATAAAAAGTGTCACTGATTGGCTGCTCAGTGTGCTAGATGACTGACTCGGCAGAAAATCCCAATGATGTCTGGAGCTGAATGCTAGTATCAGGGGTCTCCTTGCAGTGATGGATGGAAGCAGGACGTGTGCGTGAGCCATATTTTACTTTCGCGACATGTTGCAGCCTGAGGTTTCTGTTGCAGTTATTGAATGGCGTAGTTATGGCCCCATTTGTTAACATGTGCATATTATTGCCCTGGTTGTGGCGTGTCAAAGTCAAAGTAATTGCCTGAGTGTCAGAGCCTTGGCCATGAACAGATGACTGCACTGCTCACGTCGAACATGAAGAGTGAATGTTGCCCGGCTTTATTAACTGGGGGAGTTCATTGAAAAAAGAAAAAAAAAATCAATGTTTTGTCCCTGATGCTGTACCATCACTGTTGCTGTAGTTGCAGGTATCTCAGCTGACTGTTTGTGGTGACTTGAAAAGGCCAGATTTTTATGCAAGAGTTTCTCAAATGGATTTTTTAAAAAAGATTAATAGGTGTCAAGAAAAGGCACAATTCACAAATGTATAATTAATTTCCTGGTACAGTCTACCTGCTTTTAAATATACTTATGCAACTCTTTTCAATGGAATTGCATTGACATTTTTTAAAAAGTTAAATGCTTCATTTAGGGTAAAAAACAAAACGAAAATCATAGAACTGCCATCTAAATGTCTAAAATTACAGAATTTCTTGCAATTAATTTTCTTTCCTTTCTCGGCCTTAGAATTGCAAAGAAGTAATTATTTGTATCCCTTAAGTCAATGCTAATAGCATTATATTTCTTTGATTATGTTAAAATGACTATGAAGAGAGCAGAAGGCGTCCTTCCCCTTTCAGTATTTTGTTAGTCCTTTTGTCTTTTCATCCAAAAACAAAATAAGATCCGAGCGGAAATTACCAAAATTAGAGGGCAATTGAAAACTGGGACACACCAACAAAAATAACGAGACCTGCCATCCAAATTAAATTACACCCTCAAGCATGTAAAACTGCCCAAAGCCCCATGACATGTTCCTGTACTTTGTTCCAAATTGCACGTTGCATTGGGAAATGAAAATAACATTAATGGCATTGTGACTTGAGCATTTACAAACATAACTGTTCCTAATTTTTTCAGATTTCCACTGTTTCTTGAGTATTCATAGTCAAGGTTGTTTGAAATGTGGCCTGGTGAGTGTGTGTGCATGGAAAGCAGCTTGGCAGTCTGTATCCATTAGCATCTTCACACAGCTCCTCTATAAATTGGGAAAATTCTCAGAGAAAAGCCCCCAAAGCAGTGGCTATCACCTTGTCTGTAGACTACACAGTGACACAAAGAGTGACCAAAGACATTCCCAAGGCATTCCCAATGGTCAGCCACCATTGACATGTAGTTGAGTAAGTCTCACTATGTGCCCAAAAGGTGGTTTTCGACAATTACAAGCTGTTACATAATTCTACAGGAGCAATATAATCATCGGAATAGTCATTGGAATCCAATCATGTGTTCCATTTTTAACATATCTGCTATTACGCTTACTTTTTGTGGATTGCAAAATGGGTCTTTTTCAGATCTTTCACGAGCAAAGTTTGATATTTTACCAGGACTCACCTGGACTCCGAACAAAAGTGAACCCCGGTTCCAGAATCAGAACTTACCCTACTTTTTTCTGTCCCATTCAGGCATTTGGTCAAGCGTATTCCACCCAGCGTAAGGTAGCCGAGGATGGGGAAACCAATGAGGAGACTCTGCTGCAAGAGTCCGCCACCAAGGAGGCCTACTACATGGGACGCCTACTGGAGCTCCAGTCCGAGCTGAAGAAGAGCCGGGCCACGGCCTCCAACGCACAAGTCGACAATGAGCACCTGAGCGCGCTGCTGCAGGAGCTGAGGGAGGTACAGAATAGCTGCTAGGGCATGTTTAAATCACTTACCATCATAACTCCTGACAAAAATGAGAGAATAAGCATGAATGAGGGAATTTCATTTAGCATTTTGAAAATTTGGTTAACAAATCAAAGATTAAGCCCAAAACAATTCATTGAATCTTATAACTGAACCTTTTGACTTAGTAAAATATCTGTTAAACTTTTTGAATTTTTTATCTTTTTTCAAAAACTTTGATATTAAATGATAATTTCTAAATCAAAAATGTACAGAACAATTTCACCGCTTAAGAAGTTCTTGTATCTATGAAATTGACAGGAAACATTACCCCAACCAGAGAGTGATCAGTGGAAAAATGGGGACAATTTTAAACTTTTTCAAGAAAGTATTCCAATCAACATGTCAGGACAGAAAAAAAAAACAACAATTTGACTTCAAATAGAAGCCTTGGGTTAGGGTTAGAAATAAAAGACCAAGGAAACTGTGTGAAAAACAGAAGAAAATGGGATTTATTTTGAGAGTCCCTGTTTTGTAGAGAAGGACCAGAAACTAAACAGAGGACATTTAGAAAAGAGTGATTAGATGATTGAAACCAGGTGAGTAAATGTGAAAGAAGCAGCTGTTAACACAGTGGTGGTCCAACAAGGCGAAGACATCTGACACTTATCAAGGGATAACGCCTAGATCAGCACAAGAACACAAGAACTAACATAACAAAAATTAACTTTAAGCAAAAAATAACCAGAATCTTTAAGAAAAGCTTAGCTACGATAAAGAGCACGGTCAACCAAATGGCAAAAGACAATCTAGAACAAGACAAAACAAGAATTTAAAAGACATAAAGTCATAGCTCTAATCGGAGCAAGGCCTCCATCCAAGACATCTAACCTAACATAGAACATCACATGACTTCAACTGAAATAGAAAAATGCAAACTAATACTCAACAAAACCCAGAGGCCATACCATATCCATCCAAGAAAAGTCACACACCAACCATCATTATTTAAATCTAAAGAGAAGAAAGCATATTTACAAATGGCTTGAGAACCAGTCAGGGATGATTGCATGAACGTGATATTCAGGGATAAATCCTTAGTCTACACCAGAGAAGAAGAAGATGCTAAAAACTTAGTTTGGGGGGTATTTTTGGTTAAGCTAGTTTTGGGTCTTATCTGTGTTTTGGTTACTTCTTTTACCAGACCAAAAGCTGATGGAACAACTTTTGCCAGTGTTTATATCACATAGAAAAGAAATGGCTGCTAATAGGAGGTGGCAGAGAACTTTCTGTGTCTGTTAAAATAATCATCCTATCAGCATCGTACAAACTATTCATGTAATTTCATAAAATTCCTCTTGAGTTGGTCCCCGTGTTTTAAACCTGTACATTGCTTTTAATAGAAGTATACCATACATCACGTATTTTCTATAGCACACCATATGTCAATATGACATAAAATTATCTTTTCCTACAGGCTAAGATGAAAACGTTGAATATTGAAATTGTGAAACAATACTCATTGAAAATGTATTTTTTGCATAAGGACGTACTTTGGCCACTCCTATCAACATCTTTTTTTATTAACCAGTTCTCTTACAAAGCTGTGTTGTTAAAAACTTGTGCTCCAGCTCTTCTTTTGCTCTGCCTCAGCAGAGTAACGAGATGTTGGAGCTGCAGCGGACCCGGATGCGAGAAGAGCTCGGGGAGTACAAGTTTCGAGAATCGCGGCTTCTTCAGGACTACACTGAGCTAGAGGAGGAGAATATCTCTCTTCAGAAACTGGTGTCAACACTCAAACAGAGTCAGGTACACACACACTGACATGTACTCTTTGTTTTGTTATCGACCTGAAAACCATAAAAATGTAACATCATTTAGCACGCCTTTACCTCTCACCTTAGCCCTAACCCTAATCTAACCCTTTGTCTTATATACAAGTGTTTTTTTTAGTATATATATGTATATTCACTGTTTGTGACCTCAGTCTTGGTCTGCATGTGTTAAACTTAATCAGATATTCTGCTTTTCAGTTTCAAACATTTACAGAAACTTGAAAAGTGTGGACGTCTGCCCCACTGGGAACTGCTGAGTTTCTTTTGACAAATGACTGAAAACAGTTAACACTGTGACAAATAACAGTCTGGTTCAGTGTGTTTGTGTTTGTGAAATGCTATTGGATAGTAAACGTGGAAGCTGGTAGTTTACTGAAAACTGACTCAGTGTGCATAGACTGCTGTCAATGTGGAAAGTACACAGTGAAATGTCTTTGGCTGCTTCGGTAGAATGCACGAAGAGTCCGATACATTCCCGTAATGACAATTCTAATCAGAAAATGTGGCCCTGTTTAATTTTTGTCTGACAAAAGCATATTGTTGCTCCAAGTAATATGATGCACAAGCACAGCAGATCAATAAGCTGTGTTCACATGGCACTGTCAGGTTGACATTTATTACATTTCTTTGGAGGTGAAAGTCAGATAGTGGTTTGAGTCATCTTGTGTCCAGTTAAGGTCACTTAACCACCAAATTTCACTATGTCGCTTTTTTTTATATTAATAAATGCCATACAACAATTACTTGGAACTCAAGTAACTTTCTTCGTTTTTAAAGATAGCACCTCATTGTGTGTATCTTCAGGCTAATTGTTTCTAAAAACATTGAATGTGTAGTCATTTGGGGGAGTATTTCTATTTGAACTATTTGAACTGATTAGCAGCAATTCATTTTGATTAAATTGGATTTTTCTGATTTTATTTAATTTGTGCTAGTTAAAAATATCGATTGGAAATATGGCTGATTGATTGATTAAATGATTGATATTTTGTTTTTTAGTCTTTTTATTAATCAGTTGTGAAATTGATCACTTTGTTTATAATTGATGTTCATTTCTTTTTTCCTTTCGGTCCCTTTAATGTTTTTTTCACATACAGTAACATCCAAACTACAATGATTACTCATTTTAAATGAGGATTAGTATCCAGTAACCCAGCGGTGATAACTAAAATGTTTGTTTCTCTCTGAGAAAGAGAAGGTATGTGGAATTCCGATCATTCTCCTGCTAACCATCACTGTAAGGGATGCAAACAGTTTGTCTACGGTATTCAAGGATTCAAGGAATTTTTATTGTCATTCCAGCTATAAAAAAGTACTTAAGAACAAAAAGCTGGAGAATTTTTTTTTAATCATATAAAAGAAAAGCAATCTGTTGCACACATGATTCTTCAAATTAGCTATAAAAAAAATTCCGAATGGTTGAATGGTCTTATGAAACTAGAATGTAACATGTGTCTCCACTTGGAAGTAAACTGAATAAGAATTTTAACAAAGGCAATGCATTTTGTTTTATTTCAAATGACCTGATAAAACAATCTAACTGTAATAAGAAATTAAAGCTGAAATTAATCAGGCAGAAAAAGTGTCAATGTGTAATTCTCTTGATGTAAAATATCCATTTTGGTAGATCTTCCTTCAATGCAGGTGAACTCCCACAACAAATAATATGAACAGAGACTCATATCGAACAGTCCAAAGAGAGAATAAATAACGTAAAGATGCCCCTTCAAACGGATGTACCCAGCATAAAAGTTCCTTTGTCCATCCTGGCTAACAATCACCACTCCTTATTTGTCTACAACCCATTCAGTTGATGATATTTTTTCTTCGTGTCCCAACCAATCAGGTGGAATATGAGGGCCTGAAGCACGAAATCAAGGTGTTAGAGGAGGAGATGGAGATCCTCAACAGCCAGCTTCAGGACGCTCTGCGCCTGAAGGACATCTCCGACTCCCAGCTGGAGGAGGCGCTTGAGTCTCTGAAGAGTGAGCGTGAGCAGAGGAAACACCTGCGTAGAGAGCTCGTCCACCATCTCAGCATGTGCGACGTGGCCTACACTGGCAGCGCGCATCTAATGTTCTCCTCTGCCCCACCCAGCGGCACTGCCACGCCAACCACACTGCTCTCCCCGAGCTCAGAGGAGCCATCAAGGTGGTCATTAAAACCCGACGAGAAACAAGCAAACACAACATTTTGCCTCAAACAGCTAGCTCCTGGAAATTTATGCTGCACTTCTGTTTTGAATGTTTGGTTTGTTCATGGGATTTTAAATGTATTGGCATTTTTTTCTCCTAGAGAATAATAATTCAAACTAAAATACATTGGAAAGGTGGAAACACAATCACAAAAATATGACATTATGACACTATGACTAGATTCGCTATAACTATATTTATCCATCACTCTACATGTTGTAAGTTTAAGGTGTCGAGAATACTGATCTGTTTTCGACTGGAGTTTCACGGCTAATATGTTGTTAGCAGACCGGTCTACTTCACTGAACAGATTGGTTAAAGCTAATAGAAACTAAGAGATAAGACGATTAATCAAATCACTTGTCAGTGTTTAACAAAACTTGGCAGTCGGGTTATGACAGAGTAATCACAGCAAAGAGCATGATCCTGTTGTTCACATGAACTATTTTTGTTCCAAGGTTGTATTAATTACGCTAAAAATGTTAAATATCAAAATGCCTGATTGTTTATATTCTAACTTGCTCAACCATTCAAATGATGAAACCACATGTATTGAGACAAACACTTGCTTTTGTGGTTAACCCTATAATGCCAAATGTATCATATTTGATACATACGGTTTCTGAAATGTTTGGCCTGTGACACCTTTTGCTTAATTTAATGGTAAAAACTTTGCTCAAAATCCTGTTGTACACAATCAGATACACCTGATAACAGGGGGCAGAAGACTGCACAAAAAATAATCTTGACTTATCGCATAGTAATAAATTATTAATATTAAAAAAATATTTCATTTTTTTCTTTTTACATATTTTGTTAAAAGCCCAAATAAGGAATTCAAACCAAAAAAAAGTAATTTTCTGTTTCGTTTTATTCTTGGATCAGGTTTTCGAGGGTTAAATTCACAAATATTAACAGGTCACAAAGTTCATACTTGTGGCCGGAGATTTCTTTAAGTTTCATATAATCTCAAGGGAGGCTATAGGAATTCTAAAAGAACATGAAGATGATGTATTCCCCATCCAGGTGTAATGGCCACCTCCAGAGTGGGACGGCTGTGGGTTTGGCGTCCAGGGCTAACGGGGCTGGTCTGAAAGTCGAGGGGGCAACTACAGCGGACCTTTTCAGTGAGATGAATTTGACTGAAGTTCCGAAGCTCAAGCAGCAGCTCATGACGGTGAGTCAGCTTTTCCATCGGCATGAACGGAGTGGTGTGAGAGCCACTTACCGAACTCACCGTGACAAGTGTTAAGTGCAGACTATTAACCAGAAGCTGTTGATAAGTATATTAGAAACCAGTTATGGCATGGAAGAAGTGTGCGAGCAAACAACATTTTATCGCTTTTTTTTCTAACAAGCTTAACTGTAAGAAATGCGCATTCAGTTATTGATTTTTATCTTTTTATTACATTTTAACCCTTTCAGGCATAGTTGACAGCCATTTGAAAGCCATTTTCTTGTGTATATGTGGGTTTTTATGTTTTAATTGCATATATGACACTGGTTCATCATGCAATAAAAAATTAAAAAATGTCCTCAATATATGCTGAGATAAACAAAAAAAAGGGGTGGCTGAATGAGCAGGAGAGAGAAAAAGGGATGAGATAGTAGTGAATATGAGAATAGGTTGAGAGTTGTATGCAAAGTTAATTTTTGAGTTGTTCACATTGTCAGTCTTGTATTGCATGTAAGTCACATATTTATGTATAACTCTGTGGGAATATTTGAATAAACATAAACAGTAAGAGAATATATACATTAAAACTTTGCATAAAAGCTAGTTTTTCTGAGCATTCCATCAATATGTTTCCCATTTTAGCTTCTCTGTCACTTTGTTTACACAAACTTTGCTTATTTTGCTTCTAAGTTGATGTCATTTGAACGGTGACAAGCAATCCTCATTGATATATTTAACATTTAATCTGAGCAACACTTTAAACCTGTATGCTCTATCATCTGTAGGTCTGAAGGAAAATAGATAAACAAAGCATCTGGATAATGCAAAAAAAATAACTTTTTACTGCCCCCTGCAGGTGGAACGTGAGAAAGCAGGACTGATGATCAGCCTGCAGGAGTGTCAGACCCAACTCCAGCACACACAAGGAGCCCTGGCGGAGCAGCATGAAAAGGCCTGCCACCTTAGTAAAACTGTCATAGCGCTTCGCCGCCTCAATCGAAGAGCAAACCAGGAGGCCCACGCCTTTCAGCTTAACTCCGAGGCCCTGATGGAATTGGACAAAGACCAGGAGTTGTCTGCTGCAGAGCAGGAAACCGAGGAGGACAAAGCTGAAGCGCAGAGTAGATGTCAAATGTTTTCGTATCAGACCCCCGGTCTAGAGATTCTACAGTGCAAATATCGCGTGGCCGTAACGGAGGTGGTCGAGCTCAAAGCCCAGATGAAAATCCTGCGTGAGAAGTTGGCCCAGTGTGGAGACGGGGAAGCAGAGGAGAAGACAAGGAGGTCCGGTCAACTCCAGAAGCTGGAGAGGCAGGTGTCATCGTTGGAGAAGAGCTGCCAACAGGGACGGGACAAGGTGATGCACATTTCAAACTCTTAGCATCTGCTGGGACGAGGGAAGATCGAAATGATTAAAGATTTTTTAAAACTTTTAACTCTCTCAGATTTCCACCCTGGAGCTGGAGCTGCAAGCAGCTCAGTCAGCAGCGGGTGAGAGCCAGGGGGCTTTGAACGCAGCTCAGGACGAGCTGGTGACCCTGAGTGAGGAGCTGGCTCAGCTGTATCACCACGTCTGCCTGTGCAATAATGAGACGCCCAACCGTGTCATGCTGGACTACTACAGGTGTGACTTCTACCGATAGGTCAAATAAACAATCATGTTGAGCTGTGACATTTCTACGGTGCACTATTCTAGATTCAGTATGGGGAACTGACTGGGGAATATGTTAATCTAAGAAAAGAATAGCAACACTGGGTACATATGGTGTTGTAATATGCATATAAATTGTTTTATGGGAGGAGGTTTACATACAAACTCAATTATGCATTATGGTTTGTTTAAAAAATTAGATGAAAAATTCCATTTACTGTACTACATGTGATTCCAGATTATTCATTGGGAAGTTATAATGACAGGGTAAAGTTATATCAGCACATGTGATTGGCTTAGATCTTTTTTTTCTTTTTCTTTTTCTTACATCCGATAAAGGAAATATGAGAAAATGGTTGTTAAAAGAGTAGACCTAATGATGTGATCTGTTAGCTCTTCATGTCCTTAAACTGACTAACTCATGACAGTTTATCCTGCTATCTGTTCTTCCATCCTTGAGGAAATATATTTTCAAAAAGGGGTTAATGTAAATGAAAAAGTACATTTAGCCTTGCAAGATGAATAAATATATAGTTAAGTATATAAGTATGCAAGTCAAACATATAATGTTTCCTTCTGAAACAAGTCTGTTTTGTATTTTTAATTGAACAAGATATTACTTCATCTTTGCTTAATATCCTGGCACATAAAGGCACACCTCTGTCACTCATAAAGTTGTTCCACCACGCCTTCCAAGTCATGTTCAAGCACAATTCTTAGTAATTTTTATCACATATTGTGTCTCAAACCTGCTTCATTGGGCACTGGTCGCAAAAGATAGGAAGAGCCTCACAGGGCTTGTCATTAGAAGGGTGTCCCAACAATGAAATATGTGGTCTTTGTCAAAGCCTCAGGCTTAAAACTGACAATTTCTGTTGTATCCAACATAATAGGCCTCTTATTATGTTGAAAAAAGAAAACATGATAAGCCTCTAATAACCTCTAATATCATAAACAACAATATGCTCGGGCAGATTATCGAAAAACTCATTAATTCGACCAGTGATTTGTTTTACACAACTGCACAAAAACTGAGAGGAATTCCCAATGAAAAACTATAACTGTCTCCGTTTCTATTCCAGGCAAGGCAGAGGGCTCAGGGGCCTTTGCGCTAGCCTCAAAGCCATGTCCTCAGACAACAGCAAAGTCCTCCTCACACCACGCCTCGCCAGGCGGCTGGCCGCGGTCATATCGACCACGTCCACCCCGGGGGAGTCCTCCCGGAGCCCCTCCGAGTCGCCGTCCAAAGAGCCTCTGTCCGGACAGGGCCGGAAAGAACAGAAGGAGGTGGACAAGGAAGCTCCGCAGGCCCCGTGTGAGCAGAGCCTGCCGCCCTGCACGCCTCCCACTCGTTCGCCCAGCATCAGTGCCTCCTCATCCTCGTCATCTTCGTCATCACCTGCTCTTGAACCACCGGGCGAGATGCGCAGGGAGCCCATGAACATCTACAACCTCAACGCCATCGTTAGAGACCAGGTAGGAGGCACGATCAGTGGAACTCCTTTCCGTTTTTTTATTATTCCACTGCCTAATTTCATTGCGATCTTTTAATCTCAATGTCTGTCCACCTCTGTCTTAGGTGAAACACCTCCAGTGTGCGGTGGACAGGTCCTTACAGCTGTCCAGACAGAGAGCAGCGGCCAGGGAACTGGCCCCTCTTCTGGACAAAGACAAGGAGAGCTGCATGGAGGAGATCCTGAAGCTCAAGTCCCTACTGAGCACCAAGAGAGAGCAGATAGCCACCCTGAGACTGGTTCTTAAGGCTAACAAACAAGTGAGAGGGTGCCCCGGATTCTTTTTATGAAGTATTATGGAGGATTAAGCATTACAAGTCAAGGTTCAAAGCATTTTAGATAATCTAATGTGAATAATGACGAAGGCTGTTGGCCTTAATGGGACCCATTACTCAATAAGATTTGAATATTGGGATTTGGTATTTTGAAACTTTTTGGCTCTTTTATTCTTGTTGTCAAGATCAAAATTAAGCTAAGAGTGCATTATGAATTATTTAAAAAAGCCATGTGGATTCGGGGAAGAAATCTGAAATCTGAAATACATGGAACAGAGTGTGATATTTGTGTTTATTTTCATCCCCCAGAGTGCAGAGGTGGCTCTGGCTAACCTGAAGAGTAAGTACGATGCAGAGAAATCCATGGTGACCAACACAATGACGAAGCTTAGGAACGAGCTGAAGGCCCTGAAGGAGGACTCCGCCACATTCTCCTCTCTGCGAGCCATGTTTGCCACCAGGTCAGGAAATTTCAAATTCAGACCAAGTAACTATTCTAAATCAAGTATTCAGATGAACTTCTCCATTTTAGATGTTTTCTCCTTTGGCTTCATTTGTCGATCTTAATTGTGATGATTCTATATCCATCCATCCATCCATCCATCCATCCATCCATCCATCCATCCATCCATCCATCCATCCATTATCAATACCGCTTATTCCCCGATCTTATTCTTTCGACCCTATCTTTGGTTTTCATCTCAAACTTTTAAACCCTCTGCCTGTCCAGGTGTGATGAGTACGTGACACAGCTGGATGAGATGCAGAGGCAGCTGGCCGCGGCCGAGGACGAGAAGAAGACCCTGAATTCTCTCCTGCGGATGGCCATCCAGCAGAAGCTGGCCCTCACCCAGCGCCTGGAGGATCTGGCCTTCGATCAAGAGCAGTCTCATCGGACCCGGGGGTCCAGGCTGACCCGTGGGAAGACCGGCACCCCCAAAGTAAGTCCCCCAGCGTTGGCCTCCAACGTGACCCAGGGCTCCGCGTCAGCCTTGGCTCCGGGCAGTATCTCCTCGTCCAGGCTCACTAGCCCCACTTCGGCTTTTTTTGATGATCTTTCAGGCCCCCTCAGCCCGTCTGTGGTCAGCGCGGCCGCCGCCGCCCTGGCCTCGGCCCTGACCTCCCCCACCTCGCACAAACCCCCGCGTAGTCCCTCGTCCCCGTCGGTGGCCTCGCTAGCCGGCCCCGCGGCGCCAGAGAGCCCCCCCTCTCTGGAGGCCCCGCCCCCTCCCCCCACGCAGACCCCGCCCTCCACCCCCCTGAGGCTAGCTCACTCCCAGTGGACCTTAGGGGTGCGGACGTTCACGGTGGACTCCCACAGCTTCAGCGTGGACGTCTCCCCAGCTCCGCCCCCCCGGAGCTCGGGCCTGTCCAGGCACTACGCCTCGGACGCGCACGCGTCCTCCCCGTCCGGCACCGTCCCCCGGTCCGCCCAGTCCGGATCGGCCCCCGCCTCCCCCTTTCGCTCCCCCATTTCGGGACTCAGGCGCCCCACCTGGACCCCCTCGCCTCGAACTCGGCCCCTGTCCGGCATGACGCGCTCCTCGGTCCTCCACACCACTTCCTCGTCCTCCCATTACACCCCCTCTTACTCCCCCTCCCTCTCCCACGGCTATTCCTCCTCCTACCACAGCTCCACCCCATCTTTTACTCCCTCGAGCTCCTACCTCACCCCCGGCCCTTCCAGCTCCTACAACCACTCCAGCCACTACACGCCTCTTTACCCCAGATACTACAGTTCGTATAGGCCTCGGGAATAAGCCTAAACTCGAAATACCTTTAATGAACGCCTTTCAAAGGCCTCCCCCACTCCGCTCACCGACGACACAAAAAAACACTTGCTCCCGTCATCCTTCTCACCTGAGAGGAAGGAGGCTCACAGAGAGGAGGACATAATGGTTTCCTGTTCCCCCACTTCCTGTTTTGCTGTGCCTACGCCTTGGCCAATGGGTTCTGAATGTTTCAGTGACTTTGCTCAGGGATTCGACATAAGGAGCACAAGTGGCCCCGCCTTCATTTTAGTCTGAGACTGCTGATTGGTCCGCAGAAGGACGTTAAAAAGAGACTTTTTAATGCAAGTTTGTAGCGTTTGAGTTCTTTAGACCACATGTGCATGAAGCGACTGAAAACAGGGACATTGGGACATTGATTCAACACATATACTCATATGTTTTACCAAGGGTCATGACACATTAACGCTCCTTCACTGTATTCACTATAATCTCTATGGTGTTTTAAATGGTAGTAAGTCTGTTATTCAAATGCTAAATCACACACGCACACACTCACCCACAAACGAGTGCAGGAATTGAATTCACCTTTTTTGAGGAAACTTTTAAAAGTTTTACTGTTTTGGATGATTAAAGCAAAGTTGTATCAAACTTAAAGGTGGCACGATAATGGTGTCGTCCTGGACAAAGGTGGAGAAACAAAGACGACAGAAATGGATGTAACGTTGAAAATTTTCCTTGAAGCACCAACGGAAACACCAACGGTTGCTGTGTTAAAGAGAAAAAATGGCACATCTGCTTGGTGAATGTAACCGGGTGGCATTTTCGCATTAAAAAAAAGAAGAGGTTCACACTGGGTCTGATTCGAAGATACATTAAGAGTTTTGGGGATTTATTTCACTCAGTATTGTCACATAGAGACAGACACAGCTGTATTATAGAGTCACAGTCAAGTCATTAGCAGGCACTGGGTATTTTCTCTCATGGAGGGTGCCCTTTCCTTATCAGAATCTCTTATCACATCTTTGTGTGTTCATTTAGTCATGTCATTTGCAGCAGCTCCACTTTTAACAAGTTCCACACGTCTATAGCACCACCTAGTGGCTGATTTTGTTTTTTTAATTAAACCATGTTCTCAGCTTTGCATGTTCAATGCTAAGATTCCAGACCTCATTCATGTTCAAGTGCTAAATGGATCTGATACAGGCTGCAGTAGGGGGAAAATAAGAGAAGCTCTCATTCATGGCATCTGACCAGTTTCTGATCCAATCTCTGTACAGGGAGACCATTTTTCGAAATCTTGAACAGATATGATTGAGTAATAAAAATTGGTGAAAGTCCCTGATGGTAACCGTCCATCAAAATCTGTTATTGTTTCAAATGGGTTAAATGGGTGTTAGGATCACAGTGTTTTTGTATATTTGATCAATAAATTAACACAACATGCAGAAAAACTGTAGCCACACTACTTGATGTAATTTTATCAAGAACCTGGCATTGAGATGACGTGATGAAAGACTATTTTGGTCATGGTTGGTTGTTTTATTGGTAGACCATCAATGGAGGGATGGGCAAAACTCAATGTTTCCAACTGGTGGAATGGCTTGTTCACGACTCAGGGGATATGGCACACTTCATTTGATTTGCATCGAGTTAACAAATAAGAACTCCTTCGGCTTTAAATAATTTGGGTTGAGAGCACAAGCCGCAGTTTATGTCTGATCTCGGAGATCTAAAATTCTGATATCAATTTCAGCATCGGGTGGGCTGTGCAGAGAAAGATCTAAGCTTTTGTTTTGGACTGAGCCTGACAAAAACTTAAAGGGAATATGAAATTTGGGTAAAGAAAGCAGATTTGAGAAAAAAATTATTTTCCAACGTGTGCACAACTTAGCTACTCTTATTTGTTCCCATACTTCATTGATCACATTAAACTGATTTATAAAAAGAAAAATAACATTGTTGGGCTGAGTTGATTATCAATAGATTTAATTGGCAGTTTATCATAATTAATTGGCCACTTTCTTATTTTCAGCCAGTTCAGCTTGTCAAGGTTTTGAAAAGACATAACAGATAACAGTTTTAATTAGCTTATTGTAGCAGGCAAATGAGTTCCCACTCTGTGTTTAGTTGTGGATGTTATGTTATATAATTTCATTTTAACTGAACAATTGAAAGTTTGACCAGTAAGCCAGTGCTGATATCTGAGGTCCTAATATTTCTTTTTTTTTTTTTGGAATTTTTTTAGTTTATTTTCTTTATTTTCTTTATTTTCTTTATTTTCTTTATTTTCTTTATTTTCTTTATTTTCTTTTTTTTCTTTTTTTTCTTTTTATTTATTTATATTTAATTCATTTTAAATTAAAAAAACTCCTACTATTTCAGCACACGATACCGCATTCACTGTGTCTGTGTGCGCTTTACAATACCCACACAGTGTAGCCTAGTATTGATAATAATGCTAAAAATATAATAATGCTAATATCTGCTGTTGTTGACTGTTTTTGTCTGACAAACTATTTTTCACATTGTTTTTGATTTTCACATATGGGCCCCGGGCTAAAATGCTGTTTTATGTTCATGTGTCCTCATTTTGGATCGCTCTCTCACACAATATTTACACATAGTCAGATTTTTTTTTCTTTTCTGAGCATCCCTCATGTTTTCGCTAACTTTCCTCAAATGTACTGTCATTTGTTTTCCTATCCACTGAAACATTCTTTTCTCCTTTCTCTCTTCCCGCTGATGATTCAGAATATAATGTTACAAATATGTCTTATGCTGACTATAAACAAACACAAACTGTAGCCTATAATATATAGGTTTTCCAATTTGATAAATGGGGAAAAAACTCATTTGACAGGCATTGTAATTTTCCAGAGTTCTGTTTAACCATGCAGTCTGGGGTTGAAATAAATGAAAAGGAACTTAAGAAGACCTCTTTACATTTGACTAAACTCTTAGTTGTACACTGAAAACTAAGAAAATAAGGATGGGATGTTTTTTTAGAAACACTGATCAATGGTTGGACTGATCATTGTATATTATATATTCAGATCTGTTGCCTTGTTCCCATTATGTGTCCACAGTTTAGTACAATCACTAACTTTTAATCAAGTAAAACATTTGTTTCGGAATGTTTGCCGTTAAAAATATTTGATAGAAGTGAAAATGGTTTGCTCAGAAAAATATAGCAATCTCTGTTTTTTTTGTGCAAACTATTTCAGTAACTATGTCATTCTAAGATTTTTAAAACACAAATAAACATGTTTTTTTTTTCAAATAGCTTCAAATCATAATTAGACCCAGAGATGTTTGATACTCAGTGAGGGTTTATTAATATTAAATGCACAGTACCAAGTGTTGCACACGAGCAATGTGCTTATCGCTAATCCTTGTGGCCAGAGATCACTGTAAATGCTAGGGATTATTGTAATTACTGTGAATAAATGGTGGTATATCTCCACACTAACATAATACAGTAATTAAGAGCACCACGCTGCGAGCTGTTATTTGTAATTTCGTCCTCGGTACAAATTATGATCTTATGATTGCAAGAAAACAGTTGGTTTTGGCACAGGCTTAAAACAAACAGCGGCTACAAAGAAAAAAAAAAGTGGAGTCAAACAGGAAAAATATCAGGATGTGGTGTGACCCGCATATTAGTTGAGGTCAAATAAGGAAACCAGTGTGATCTCCTCTCTGCGACAGCCCGCCCTCCGCCAGCCAAAGTTACACACACACCAAAAACACCCACAACCCCTCTGTTGTCTGATCAACCAACCAGCCATGTGGAAAAGTTTGAATAAGGGGAATTTCAACAACAGTAACGATGTGACATGAAGTCTGTCAAATGTTGTTTTCTGCCCCATACCTCACTGGTGCACCGGTTTAGTAGTAGTTTCATTATTAGTAGGCGTCCCGGAGGAATATTCTGCTAATATCTTGGCTCTATTCCTAATTGCTTACATAATGTAAAAAGGATCAGACTGAGATTGATGTTTTAATGGTCACATTGTTCATTCATAAGCTTTCCAAAATACTTAATCGGTTTAAACACCAGCCATGAGTACTTCCATCTATCCACCATGATTGATTGATTAATTGGGTTTCTCTTCAAATCTTCACCTGCAGACATCTTGTATTTTTCATTCTCGGTTTTTCTTTTCTTGTGGGTCTTTCGTTGAGCCTTCACCATCCAGAGAATGTGGCCTTGTGGCTCCGCCCCTTCAGTAGGGCGGAGATCACGTCCATGAAATGTTTGTCGAAGAAAAAACCCCCCCCCCCTCTCTTTGCAATACCGATGTTCCTATTTTATGTTACGATGCTCATGCTGCAGGTTTTAAACAGCTTAACGCACCACTGTTAAAAAAATCCAGACTGTTACGTATGATGCCACTGAATGTGTCCAATGCCTGTCTGCTTTCTGAACACTTTATATGCATGTGTACAGACCAAATATTTTAGAAACTTAACTGTACAGTGTTCTCTAAATACATACTGTATTGTAAATATCAGAACCGATATATTCTGTGTCATTTTTTTTGCATAAGATTCACATTCTAGATACTTATTTAGCACATTTGCATTTGTAGACTTTTTGGAAGTTCAGCTACATACTATAAGATATCAAATTTACTTGATTTAATTGAAAGCTACTCCATCCCTCATTAACGTGTGGGTAAGTTTTGAATAATTTCTCTCTTTTCTCTAGACAGAGCTTTAGTTCTGTGAGACTTCCCCAGGGTGTAATGCGTCTCTGTAACAGTGCCAGTCTCTTGCAGGTCATCAGTAGCCTTTTGCCTCAGTGCCGGTCTTCGTTTCCTCCTCGCAGCTAACGATTTGTGGCCTCCAATCAGAGGTAACGGCAACATCACAGCTGCAGATACTCAAATTGTCTGACACATTAACTCAGCACTGAAAACCATTGCAAAGAGAGTTTAAGTAGAGGATAGGATGGTTGATAGGATGCTATGGATTGATACTTTGTTGCACTTTGTGGCTACTTTAATGTTCTTATCTTGACCTTT